GGACAGGTGATCAGAGAGACACGCCCCCATCCCGTTCTTACCTTTTCCCAGCAGAGGAGCTGCTGGAGGAGTGGTCCGACTCCGACTCTCCGCTGCCATCTCTCTCCTCACCAGCGTGAGGCGCTCCGTTGACATGCTCTTCCTAAAGGAGGAGAAGGTTCAGACTCCTCTGGAACAAGCAGCTAAGAGCTAAAGCTGGAATCATCTCATAAAAGATCCAGAATAGTTCAGATTATTTTAACGAGAACCAAAAGGAAAACCTTTTTTACACTCGTTTCCCTCTTTTTACATTTCTGACGATCATAAAGAAACTAAAAGAAAGAAAGAGAGTTTCTGATCTTACCTTTTGATGGACTGCAGCACCTCCTTCTTTGGAGACGACGGAGAGGAAAGGAGGCGCTTCTGTTGAGCGTAGCCGTTGTTCAGCGGTCTGGAGGGCAGAGCCTGCAGCAGCTGACGCACTGGAAGAGTGAAGAACGACTCTAAATCGGGTTGTAAAGGAAGCTCTAGACATCGTCTCCAGCATCAGGACCTGCTAAGGGTTTCAGTGGCGGCAGATTATTTTACTAGAGAATTAAACCAAATCCGTGGATCTGGTGGAACAATGAGACTTCAGAAGGTTTCAACCAGAGAAACGACTAAGTGGAACCAACAAGATGTCCTCTGAAACGTCCCTGCTGCTGTTTCTGTTTCAGCACAAACGAGTCAAAGCAAAGAAAGAATCCTGGCAACAAAAATGGCCGATTAGTCGTTTCCACAAATACTCTAATGCATCTATTCAGAATCTTAATAAAAGTCATTTTTCCCATAAAAAACAAACACCACCTTTACTGTCTGAGCCACTTTCCTTTGTAACCATCAACATGTCTTCAACATGAATCAGAATTCAGATCAGCAGGATTATTTCTGCAGGTGGGCGCGCCACAGAGCCGAGGGTTGGGTCAGCAGCCGTCACCTTCATAAACACCTTCATAAACACCTTTATAAACACCTTCATAAACACCTTCATAAACACCTTCATAAACACCTTCATAAACACCTTCATAAACACCTTCATAAACACCTTCATAAACACCTTCATAAACACCTTTATAAACACCTTCATAAACACCTTCATAACACCTTCATAAACACCTTCATAAACACCTTCATAAACACCTTCATAACACCTTATAAACACCTTTATAAACACCTTCATAAACACCTTCATAAACACCTTCATAAACACCTTTATAAACACCTTTATAAACACCTTCATAAACACCTTTATAAACACCTTCATAAACACCTTCATAAACACCTTTATAAACACCTTTATAAACACCTTCATAAACACCTTCATAAACACCTTCATAAACACCTTCATAAACACCTTCATAAACACCTTCATAAACACCTTCATAAAGCACCTTTATAAACACCTTTATAAACACCTTCATGAACACCTTCATAAACACCTTCATAAACACCTTCATAAACACCTTCATAAACACCTTTATAAACACCTTTATAAACACCTTCATGAACACCTTCATAAACACCTTCATAAACACCTTTATAAACACCTTTATAAACACCTTCATAAACACCTTCATAAACACCTTCATAAACACCTTCATAAACACCTTCATAAACACCTTCATAAACACCTTCATAAACACCTTTATAAACACCTTCATAAACACCTTCATAAACACCTTCATAAACACCTTTATAAACACCTTCATAAACACCTTTATAAACACCTTCATAAACACCTTCATAAACACCTTCATAAACACCTTCATAAACACCTTCATAAACACCTTCATAAACACCTTTATAAACACCTTCATAAACACCTTTATAAACACCTTCATAAACACCTTTATAAACACCTTCATAAACACCTTCATAAACACCTTCATAAACACCTTCATAAACACCTTCATAAACACCTTTATAAACACCTTCATAAACACCTTCATAAACACCTTTATAAACACCTTCATAAACACCTTCATAAACACCTTTATAAACACCTTCATAAACACCTTCATAAACACCTTTATAAACACCTTCATGAACACCTTCATAAACACCTTCATAAACACCTTTATAAACACCTTTATAAACACCTTCATAAACACCTTCATAAACACCTTCATAAACACCTTCATAAACACCTTCATAAACACCTTCATAAACACCTTTATAAACACCTTCATAAACACCTTCATAAACACCTTTATAAACACCTTCATAAACACCTTCATAAACACCTTTATAAACACCTTCATAAACACCTTCATAAACACCTTTATAAACACCTTTATAAACACCTTCATAAACACCTTCATAAACACCTTCATAAACACCTTCATAAACACCTTCATAAACACCTTCATAAACACCTTCATAAACACCTTCATAAACACCTTTATAAACACCTTTATAAACACCTTCATGAACACCTTCATAAACACCTTCATAAACACCTTCATAAACACCTTCATAAACACCTTTATAAACACCTTTATAAACACCTTCATGAACACCTTCATAAACACCTTCATAAACACCTTTATAAACACCTTTATAAACACCTTCATAAACACCTTCATAAACACCTTCATAAACACCTTCATAAACACCTTCATAAACACCTTCATAAACACCTTTATAAACACCTTCATAAACACCTTCATAAACACCTTCATAAACACCTTTATAAACACCTTCATAAACACCTTTATAAACACCTTCATAAACACCTTCATAAACACCTTCATAAACACCTTCATAAACACCTTCATAAACACCTTCATAAACACCTTTATAAACACCTTCATAAACACCTTTATAAACACCTTCATAAACACCTTTATAAACACCTTCATAAACACCTTCATAAACACCTTCATAAACACCTTCATAAACACCTTTATAAACACCTTCATAAACACCTTCATAAACACCTTTATAAACACCTTCATAAACACCTTCATAAACAGATCCAGCTGCTGTTGAAAACACTTTCTGTGGGAAAGAGGGAGAGTCTGTGGCCTTAAACTGTCTCCCTACACTGTGATCCTCCTTGCTTTAACCTTATGCTGGTCTGGAGTCCACTGGTCTGTTTAAAAAACGATATAAAAATAGAAGAAGAAGAAACGGTTTTCTGATCGGTACCAGGGAAACATGACCAGGAACTTCAGCGATATTCCACCGAACCTGTTCCACATTCCCAAGAGTTACATCAGTGGGAAAAACATTTTAACCAGCCCAGACCTGACGGTAACAGATTAGCTTAGCATAAATAATGTAAGCGAACGGCAACAGCTAGCATGTCAGTCACTGGAACTCAAACAGACAGATGTGGCCGTGTCTTCGGCTCTGACTCCTTCCTGTTTCCTGTTATTTTCATTTGGAGTTGGTTTTTGAGGTCACCAAGAATAATTAGGATCATTGTTGTTTCATGACTTTTTCACACTAAATGCTAACTGTTACCATTCACTTACATTGTTCATGCTAAGCTAAAGCTAACAAAATGCTTCCAGGTCAGGAAAACGTCTGGGCTGGTTACGAAATGCTTTTCCTACTTATCCAACTCTGGGAATTGGCCACAGACCAGAGTTCACCGAGGGGCGGGACATCCCTTTAGCATCAGAACACCAGCTGACCAGAGGAAGAGAGCTAGCATTAGCCTGACTTCCAGCTAACGCGTCTGCAGGAAAACATCAGCAGCAGATAAGTTACTTCCACGGCGGCAGCACCGCGTGAGTTTGGTTTCTGGAGTTCTGTCAGACATTTTCATGTCGTACGGTTTTCCAACGAGGTCTAGAGGAGGTGTACTTACCCTTGATGGGAGGTGCTGGAGCTGCAGCAGCCAGAGCTCTCCTCCCAGACTGAACACCTCCTGTCTGGACCCCCTGGTTCTGCTCCTCACAGTAACCCAGCCGGCGCAGGGCATCCGCCAGAGCCGCCTTCAGCAGCTGGATCTCATCCTCCTGCAGCTGTAAGCGCTGCTCCAGATGGGACACTCGGTCCTCCATGTCCATGTTGCTGCTGGCGGACATCGTGTCATCTGGACAGGAGGGCGGACAGCTGTTAGCTCAGAGGTTAAAACAGAAACGTTCTGTTGGGACCCAAAAACGTGCCGAAGACATCCGATCATTTTATAATTCATTGGTACAAAACACGTCTTCCTCCATGTTGACCTTTGACCTTGTCCTGACATCCTGTCAACCTGCTTCTCTAATCTTTCCCTCAATCCAACTAAATTCTCCTCCTGAACACAGATGAACCGGCCAAATGGCCGAAGGCAAACGGCCCAGAGTGGATTATTAATCTGAGCCGTGGTGATGGATTACAGCCCAACTAAGGGCCGAAGAGCTCATTTAGATTAGAATAAATATGAATGCAGAAACCAAGAGGTGAGCCTTCACCCATCCATCCATGTACAGCAGCAGCAGCTCAGGAGCTAGAGCAGGTAGTCCAGGTTGCAGGTTCAATCCCAGCTCCCAGCAGTGGATGCTGCTGTTGTGCTCTTGGGCAAGACACTGCTGGTGGTGGTCGGAGGGATCGGTGGCGCCTGTGTGCTCCAGGTCAGCTGTAGCTATATCGTAGCTCATCATCACCAGTGTGTGAATGTGTGGATGACTGACTGTGTTGCAAAGCGCCTTGGGGGGGTTGTAGATCCCTAAGAAGGCGCTACACACATACAGGCCGCCGTCCATCCACCATCAGTATGAATGATATCATCAGTACGTTTCTGTCCTCTATCGTCCAGCCCGCCGTCAGTCCAGACAAGATCCTGGCTTCATTTGCATTTAGGTTGCTAACTGGACCCAAAGTCGTCTCGACAGCATTTTTAACGTGTTAAAACACAAAAATCAGGCCTGGTGACTCGTGAGGAACCTGAGCGTGCTCCCAGAGGTGTGCAGATGTTTTCTTCTGAAGTTTAACCAGAGCCCCACCTGAGACGTTGTTACTCTGGTCCAGATCCAACCCTGTGTGTGTGT